CTTGTTTTACACCAAGAGTTTTGGCTGAGAGATGCCTGGAATACTTGATATTTTGTTCATAGATATTGTTTTTCTAAAATCTGCTGCTTTTGTTAACTCTATTCCTCAGCTTCTTTAGCACAGCTACAAGTGTGAAAAAGCTACAAGCTATTGATCTTTGGCAGAAAAAATGGTCAATTCAAGAATCTAAACACTGCTTGGTTTTCCTCCTTGCATGTTGTGCATTGATGTAAATAACACTGCTTCCTGACAATGCAGAGCATCCCTCCAGAAAGGCTTAGAGTCATAGAATCATTTAGGTGGGAAAAGACCTTTAAGATCATCACGTTCAGCTGTAAGTCTAGCACTGCCAAGTCCACCGCTAAACTGTGTCCCACAGTGCCAAATCTACATGTCTTTTCAGTACCTTCAGGGATGGTGACTCAACCACTTCCCTGGGCAGCCTGTTCCCATATTTGACAACCCTTTCAGTGAAGGAATTTTTCATAACAACCAGCCTAAACTTCCCGTGGTGCAACTTGAGGCTGTTTCCTCTTGTTCTATCACTTATTACTTGGAAAAATAGACCAACACCTGCCTCATTACAACTGCCTTTCGGGTAGCTGGAGAGAGCCACAAGGTCTCCCCTCAGCCTCCTTTTCTCCAGGCTAAATACCTCAGTTTCCTCAGTCACTCCTACTAAGACTTGTGCTCAAGACCCTTCACCAGTTTTGTTGCTGTTCTCTGCACACACACTGGCACCTCAATGTCTTTCTTGTAGTGAGGGGCCCAAAACTGAACACAGCCTCACCAGTGCCAAGCACAGGGGCAAGATCCCTTCCCTGTCCCTGCTGGCCATGCTATTTCTGATACAAGCCAGGATACTGTTGGCCTTCATGGCCACCTGGTTACACTGCTGGCTCATATTCATCTAGCTGTCAATCAGCACCCCAAGATCCTTTTCCACTGGGCAGCTTTCCAGCCACTCCTCCCCAACCCTGTAGCGTGGGGTTGTTGTGACCCTGGCACTCAGCTTTATTGAATCTCACACAATTGGCCTTGACCCATCAATGCAGCCTGTCCTTGAGATCAACACTCCCACGCATCTTGGCGTCATCTGCAAACTTATTGAGGGGATAGTTAGAACAAGGTTATCACTCCTGGGGGCAGCTCCTTGACTGGTGGCCGGGGCTGTTTTCGGCCAGTATGAACCTACATCCACCTCTGTGACACAGCAACTTTGTAAGAATGCCCCGAACTCACCTCCCAGTCTTCTGGGAAGTGATCAAGAGGTCAAAGATACTCATGGAGAACTGATTCATAAACACCGCAGTCACAATGATGAAGATTTTGGAGGGGAAGTTACTCTACCTGAAGTATGATATTCTTCTATGAATACTCTTACTATATTCCAGCTGTGGATATCTTATCTCTGTGGATTAGAGAAATACAATGCACCACAGAGCCTACCATGGGGTATTAATGAACTTCCAATGATTTTAATTTCCCTAAATGCTTTCATATCACTGACTTTGCTTTCCAGTTACTCAACTAAACAGTATGGTAGACCTCCAATGTCTACCACCTTGCCTTCAAGGGTCTGAGTGTAAATCAGTCCCACAGCTACATCCATGATACAATGCTGTAACAAACAATGAGAATGAGTAAAAATTATGAGAGTGTGAAGATATAAGCAGTAACAGAACATCTTTGTTTCAGTTGGAAACTAAAATATAGGCTCCCCATTTCTTTCCTCCTGCTATTCCAAGCCTCTCCTTTCCCCTTAGATAAGGAGCTAAGGAGAGCTTTCTATAAACACATGGCTTGTATTGGTGCCTTGGTGTTCTTAGATGGGAATAATATTGTCACCAGACTAACCAAACCCATTGCAGGGTGATGCAGCCTTTTTTAAAAATAGGATTGTTTCCATGAGGATGAAAAGGAAAAGGAAGAAAGTGATCTCATATAACCAGTTTAACCCACAGATGATGAAGTCATTTTTAACAGGTTAGCATTCTGGACAGCAAGATGAATTTAATGAAATTCTGCAGTGCCACCTTGAATTCCATCTAGAATGGAGTTTAGATTACCATCTCCCATGGCCCATTTTGTTTACCAAGGATTTCCAGAACACACATTTGCACCTGAATATGGCATTAGTGCTGCTATAGGAGCTGTAACAGCAATTCTCTATTGCAAGAACTCCTTTCTGTCTTCCCAGGATTTGCCATGGGTAATGATGTTTTTTGCTGCTGGCTAGCACAATGAAGCTGAAGTACAGCCTTGGGTCAGGACCCATATATTTACAGGGTCAAATTGTTCTTTATCTAGCTCAGCATCTTTGACTGCCTACACTGCTGCTCAGGCAGAAGAAGAAGGAAGTTTGCATGTCAGGAAGATTGTTTCCTATTGCAGCATGAATAACCCAACTGGTAGCAAGTTGGCTGTCTGCCATTCAAAATTGAACAGCCAAGTCAAACTGGGTCAGGTTTACACTTTACCAGGGTAATGCTGTCTAGTCACACATCGGCAAAGGAGCATTTTCAGATCAGAGTCTGGTCAGCCATGGGAGGAGGAAGAGAGAGCAGAGGAAGTTTGGCTGTCAGAAACCTTGTTTTTTCTTCTATTGTAAATAGCCAACTGGCAGCTGGTCAGGCATTCAAAGTTGAAGGGTCTGGTGACACCTGTTTTAGGTATGTCCCTTCCTCAGTTAATGCACTGAAAGCATAAGCATCAGGCAGCAGCCTCAACTGGCAACTAAAGCTGTTTTCCATTTCAGCTGTCCTGTAGACTATGTTAATCTGTAAACTCTGCATGTATGCCTTGCCTATGGGTACACAGCTCAAGTTTATATCGTCATTGCTGGTGGATGAGGCAACCACTGTTCTGAGTGTCTTGCTAAACTATATTTCTTTCTAAACTACATTTCTTTTAGAGACATTTCTGTGACACCCTGTCTGTCATCCTTACACTGTTCCAATCTCCATTAATTTTATAATAGCATTGCATAGGGTAGAAATACATTTCTTGTTTTCACACAACTGCATCATTCTCATTTGACTGCACCCTGTCTTTCAGCTGGGTATTTAGTGTCTCAATCATAATTTATTCTTTAATGATTTTCCATTCAGAAGAGTACTTAAGTACTGAAGAAAGTACAGTACAGACAATCCCTGCTCCAAAAACACAAGTCTACATTCTCCGCTGATGTAAGTCGACAGAGGTATGTTGAGCAAAAATGCTTACACTTACAAGAGATTTTTTCAATCCAGGAAGTAATTCACTGAAAGGTAATCATGTTTGGCTCCATCCAAATTAAATAGTTTATACAATTGGACTGGATATACAGTATTTTTTCAGACAGGGTAACCTGTGTTGATGGGACAACAGAAGGTTTATTCATAAACCGGTTGTTCTCTGTTCAGCTGTTCTTTTACTGCAGGCTGATCACTAGGGAAATTTATGCTGTATGATCTAACATATCCCCATATCATATCTGTGAACAGTTAGTAGTGATCCCTATTTAGTGGTTTGTTGTTCACAAGTGCTGAAATGACTGACACCCCACATGTGTTTTTAGATTTTTTTTTTTGCATCATGAACCAGTGGGCAAACACATTTATCGGTATCACTACACAAGACATAGAGTATATTAATGGGATGAATTTGGCAAGAGGTTGTGTATGCAGCCTTCTTACTTAAACTAGGATTTTAATCTGTTGAAGGTCTAACACACTGCAATTTGAGAGTAGTTTGATCTTCTCAGAGATATCCCATATAATTTCTATCTAACTAGGATTGTTTTTCCTTTTAATGATTCACCCCTTTTTGTCGTATCATCAATATTAATTTGGCTATCTCCATGAAAATACTTTAGATATACTGGGCCTTTCACCCTTTCACTATAGGCATAGAAAAGCTACCTGGGAACATCTGAGAGGCTGTCTTTCTCTTCTACTTCATTTCTGCTTGTTTGAAGACGTAAGTGAGCATAGTTCAGTTTTCAACAAAAATGAAAAGGAAATTTGTGAAAAGGACCTAACATATGTTCTTCTAAATTATAGTTTGTGACTGGCAAAGGGGAAACTTGGAGATTCACTGATACTGATACTGATGGGAATGAATTAGATTACTCCTTAACATATACTTCATATACCTCATGTAGAGGAAGCTTATAATCTTTGTAGCACTTGTTACCTGAAATCAAAACAGAAGGGAAAAAAATAGAAAATATAACAGAAAAGCAAAAAAGGTTTATTTCTGTTTCATTTAGGCTCTTACATGTATTTCTAGTGTTTACACAAGACTTCTTGTACTTCTTAAGGTATGTACCTCTGAGAATTAGAAGCTGAATATCTCTATTTTCTTTATTACTGGAGTTACTTTATAGCAAACATTCCAGTAGCTTTCTCTACGTGCTCAAAACCAACATAAAATGTTTTCTGTGGAGTCTGATTATTTCAGTTCCATCAGGATATTAATTAAATAGTCATTAAAATAAATCCAAGAGTTTACTCATCACTTAAAAGTGATGCTTTCCATTAGAAGAAGAAACTCTGAGCTTCTGAGTTCAGTGTCTTCTGCTTATTCCTGAAGCTCTAGAAGTATTCCTAATTTCTTACCTTCAATCTTATAACATGTCTGGTTGTTTTTTCCTCTCTTAACATGATGCAGATCTTTGAAACATCTTTAAAATAAGGATTATGCCTTTCTTTTTTAGCTTGTTTGAGGCCAAGTTAACAAATATCATAATCATCGCAGAGCATTCTTTATGTCCTCGCTGCAGTCTGTAATAATAAAGAAGTGATCTGTCTGTCTCAGAGGACATGGCAGCTCTTCTGCCCTTGTCTTCTAACGAGTCCTCCATCACTGATACAGGCTTCTCTTTACAAGGACCACTCTTCACCAGTGCTGCATGAAGTATGACCATGTTGGACCAGAACAAAGCATTTAGTGTATAAAATAACTAGAGTGCCAGGAATTCCAGATCCATTTGAACACAAAGAACAGCAGCTTCTCCAGTAAATATTTATTTGCTTAAATTAATACAATACATCATACATGCTTTTACTATTGAGATAGAAAGCCAGAAACTAAATATTCACAGATAGTTGGTCAATTTTTTGAGTTGGGGCTTTAAATAGGAACCCAGTGTTCTATGTGAAATAAATATACACCACATTATGGGCAAAATCTGTTAGGAGTACAAAATGTTAGCTCTGTTACATCTTGTTCAGCTAAGCAGACGTGACTTATTTTCAAAACTGTTAATAATTATTAAACATTTCTTGGAATAATAAATATAGTTCTTATATTAATTCTTAACTGTACACATAAGAGCAGAGTCCAGCAGCACCGTATGAAGAGAGAAATTGGAGAATAACTAGTAGACCAACTCAGAGTTGTAAAAAAGGCGGGTGCAGTAGCATTACCTGGTCTTTCCAGTAACATGTTTTATAGGACACAGCATAGGATAAGCTTATATTATAACATTGTCATAAAGTGTTTTATCCTTTGAGCTGCTGAACACAGAGCACTTGTCTTTGTCTTCACAGATGGGAGGCTGCCTGGCAGCCAGGAGAACTCAGGTTCACAAGGAGATGACTGAGTTCTGGTGGCCAGACTCAAAACAGCTTGTTCCCAAGTTACCTACAACTTCACTTTCTCAGTAACTACTTTGTATTTCTTTACCCTCAAATTTTATTAACACAACTTTTGACTTTTCATCCACCTACTCTGTTTGTACAGTGTCTTGCAGAATTCTCCCTGCTGCCCTTAACAGCAGAAAAGCCTCTAATTTGACAACACACGCCTTCACTTGCCCAGACTCATTATGATGTGGGCCATTTACCTTTCCTCAGCATCATCTCCTGAAGCACCTCAGTTTGTATGAGTTTGGAAAGAACCTCAGCTGTATGAGTTTGTGGCCACTCTTATTTGCTCTGATGAACTCCAGGAAGATAAAGTTAAGCTTCATATAATAATGCAGGGAAATTATATGGATGCAATTCTATATAGAGGTGGTGAAGACTGGGCTTTAGTTTCTTATGTTATCAAAAGTTGAAAACCCAACCAGCAGAGAAGAGTCAGATAAACACATTTCTTATCACAACATAGCAAGAAGAAGTTAGATAGACTCATATTAGGGAGGAAAAAAATAAAATGTGTCCCCCAAGGTCCAGGACACAGGCAATGTCTCTACAGGACTTCTGAGCCTCTATTGAAAGCAAAACAAGGAAGCTAATCCCTCAAAAATTAGAAATGGGAAATAACTTCATTATGAGAGCAAATTTCTATAAAGCATTTTCAAAGCTATTAAAAAGCAAAGGCTGTTACTGTCTGTTCCCAAAGCAATGCCAATGTAAATAGCATGAAAACAACTTATGTTTGAAAAGCAAGGTGCTTCACAATGAAGGCTGTTATTTCACTTTTAATTTGTCCCTTGGGGCCTCTTTGTAACAAGTGTCTTAGATTCAGCTGCATTATGTTCTGCAGTAGGAGGACCATCATCTCCCAATCTCTTTGCTTGAGTCACTTGACACTGTCTCTTTATCTCAGTAATAGTTTTGTTTGCAATTCCGCTGACTAGTGACTTACGGTTTTAAATGAGTTCTTCTCTGTTCTATAACATAAATTAGCTTTAGGTATCTGTGAATTATCTTAGTGTGACTATGTGACTGGGCACAATCTCGAGGCCTCCTTGTAATGGAATGTTTTCTGCTTTCTAGGAAGAATGAAGGAAAAGAGCTTTACATGAATTACTCCCAAACACCATTGCCATTCTGAGGACCTCTACTCCTTGCCACCTGGCTGTATGTTGCTGGCAGTTGCTTTTACTCCCAAGACAAGTGGGATTGCAGAAGTGCTTAAACCACATTGACAGTGTGGTTGAAAGTCTTTGGGTTATCCATTCAGACAACCCTGAACTGTCTGTAGTAATTCCCTTTCCTAAGGACACATCTGGCACATTCCCTTACGAGGTCTGTAAGGGAACTCTGGACTGCATCCTTCCAGTAGACATAATTTTTGTGGTTGTAATGTTATCTACTGGGAGCTGAGGTCTTCTGAAAATGTTTCCTTTGCTCCATTTGCCTGAAGTGCTGTTGGTATGTAATCGTTTATTTCTTTCTTAATAAGGATTGTCTATCTGTCCCATAACACTCTCCAATGCACAGACAACAGGACTCTGCAATGGAAGGGCTGCATGCCTTTCTGCTTTACCCATCACAGAAGTGAAGGGATTTGCTAGGTCCAACTCATCTGCATGATCACTGTTGTAGAATTTGCAACCAGGTTCCTAAATCCTTGCTTATTCCTCTTATCATAGAAACTAATATGGCTGCAAAGGTGGAGTAGACTGATCTTGAATCATGCATAGTTGGAAACTACACCACCTTGAGAGAGACATTACTAAGAGTCAGTGACTCCCAGCTCTTGGCTGTATGGGTTCTGAAATAGGAGCTCTTGTCTGGCAGAGACAAGATATTTCCAAGAAAGTAACCAAAGGACTTGTTCCAATTTCTAAGATACAACCTCTTAGACTATGCTGAATTTCTATCTGATCATTTCCCTTCTAGTCTAAAAAAGAACATGGTGACACACATTATTCTGAAAATTTTCTGATTCTTCTACTTGACCACAATGTCTTCCCTGAAATCAAGATGTCTCCAAGAGGAGTTATCTTTCAGTGGAATCAAGGAAGTTGAATGTATATAATAAAACAGTTATGGCTACATACCTCTGAAATACACCTCATTTTGAAAGACACCATTAATTCTCAGCCTGAAGTGACCTATATTCCACTTCAATTCGGTATACCCTTTTTATTTTAGAAAAGTATGTACATCAGCTGTAGAGTTTATTAATTTAGAAGAGTCACCTATATGTTACAGCTTCTTTTACCAACAGCTTTTTCTGCTCTTCATTCAGAATCTTTATATTACAGTGTTTGAGCCCTGAAAAATGAAACCACCTTCTGCAACCTCAGACTATACAAATCCAGTTTTATATGGTGAAGAAGGGCTGCTACCCTGTGAATGCTGATTAACTGGTAGGTGTGACAATCATCAGTTCTGTAAGGAGAGTGGTGTCTTATAATGGCAAAAAGCTGCAGCTACATGACTAGCCTTAGCAAGCCATAAGCATATGACTATATTTAACTATAACTTGATATATATTGAGCATGTTAACAAGGTCTTTCAATTCAAGAACTTGGCAGGTAGGTGAAGAAGGCAATAATATTTGGGAAAGATGTACCATGTATATGGATTGCAACCTTTTGAGCTGGGATGTCAGAATGACATAGGACTAATTAAATGACTGACTTAATCTTTATTTCCTTATAAGCAATAGGATGGTGTAGGGCTGTCTGTCATCTGTCTTGAAGATGCAGGAATCAAAGCATTGGTCAAACCATTCATGTGATTAATAGAATGTGCTTTTAGCATCTTGGTATGAACATAATTGTATGGGAATCGGAGGATGAAAAGTTGGGAATCAATCAGTAATAACAGCATGAGTGGAATTCTTCTGAAAGGCCTGAAGTTTACTGGTTAAACCATGCTGACAAGGGGGTACTTCTGATTCCAATAAGAGGAAATACAGAACCAGTTTTCCTCTGTCAGGTACTGCTTGCCTGGTAAGGGCTTTTTTTTGGCATACCTTCAAAAATAATATCTGATCAGACCTGTGTATTTCAAAATCATCCTTGCTAAAAAAGAAAAACTGAAGAGGTAAATGGCAAAATGGCATAATATTCTCGATGAAATTACTTGTAATTTTTTATGTGTAATTACAGCAAGACTTGTAAATGCTGCACTCTGCTGCTGTTCATTAGATGTACTGGTCTGATCAGACAGTAGAAAAAAATGTCAACACAGTCCATGCTATTTCACTTGAAGAATTGCTGAATACTCCCATACAGACTAAAGCATAGCAGAGCACAAACATCCTTTGTGTCAGAGGAAAAATTTCTGTGACCATAATGAATTCTAGTTCTTTCAAAGCTGTACAGAGCTGCCCTTCACTATCTCACAAGACTATTTTTTTTCTTTTTGTTTCCCATTTCTCATTTTAAGTGGTTGAGCTAACAGACACATCAGTAAATGAAAGTATTTTGACTGTGTTAGTTCTGAGAGTGACAGTACCCTCATGCACACCATATTTAATAGTACTCTTGCTTATACTGTGAAATACTTAGTATTTTCAGATTTTTTTTTCTGAGACATATGGTTGGAAGTGTTCATATATATTTAGTCAGATAACAAATCAGACACTAAACTATGTTGGGTTTTGGTAACTAGAAAATTGTGTATAAGTCACTACCACTCCAGATAAAGGAAAATCAACTTCTATACCCACTCCACTGTCTGCTTGTACATTAAGTGGGTAAGTATAAAAAAGTTATTGTTCAATATCTATTGCATTTATTGATGACCTTGGACTGCTTTACTCTTTTGCTGTACGCGTTTTACCTTATATTATTTTTATTAATTTGGCTTGTTTATTTCTAAAGACTACTGCAAAATTCCAGACTTTGCTAAATTAACAGTTCATGTTAAAAGCTATCTGGTTCCCATTTTCCAGCTGCTTTAAAACGTCCATTTTAAATGCCTATAAGCATTGCTTGTTTTTCCATTTTTCTTTCCAGCAATTCTTTCAAACTCTTGTTCCTGTGCTTGAAATACAAGTATTCAGAGAGAGAATGACCAAGTCTGGCCTTTTCAAAGGATCTAAAGCTGAGGCATTCTTTGTTGTTTGCAAGGTCTCTCTCTCCTTGGCTCTCCTGTTTGTCTGAATTTCCCATTCTCTTCTCCAGGCCTCCCTTGTTTAGCACTTCTTCCTTCTCATCGCGGTAGGATTCTCTGAAGTCCTTCATCATGCACTCAGGTTTGTCAGACATATCTTGAGCCACATACAGCTTGTTGTCATCATGGTGGTACATGGCAGGGCTGTACTGCTCTGTCTCATAGCAGTTGTCTTCCTCTTCTTCCTGGCCTGAACTTTCCTTCGCACTCCCGCTATCCAAATGAAATGAGATTCCCTTTCCTTGTGTTTTCTGGGAAAGATCAAAGGGCTCTTCCTGTTCCAAGCTTCTCAAGGCATTTGTCTGGGACAGAGCAATTCTTCCTCTTCCAAAACCTTGTAGTAGTTTGAGGGGGGGAGAAAAGGAATAATTTATATACAGGAAATTTTACTGTGTGATACATGGTTAAAAACAAAACTCGAGGTGGCTTTCTATTTCATACTTCACCTTTGTCTTCCACCCAGCTATCTCCAAGTACTTTACTGTTTATATCTCATGGCATCTCCTTTGAGATGTTGTTAAAATAAGTACTATTGTATACACTTCACAGCCAGGTCAGGACACATAAAACATTGTGCTGTACATGCCAGACACTTAATGAGAGAGCTAGGAATAAAAGGAAGTGGCCTGGCCTGTTGTAAAGTGTATCTGCCAGTGAACCTGCCCACTTCCTCCTCCCTTTTTTTTTTTTTTTAAATTAAAACTTTGATCTAAAGCATCACAGGTCATAATCAAAGTCTCAGGTTTTGTACATTTTTTATTTCCAGAGGAGTGGAAGAGATCAACATGTTAATGCATTCTACAAAAAATGTGGTTCAAAGTTACTATTTAAAAATGAAAAGTCAGTCAAGTTTCAGCAGTCTATGACCCCCACTGTCCTTAATTTTTCTTCTTTCAACCACTGAGAAATCATTCATGAAACTGAAAAGTTCTATGCACTAGGTAGTTCTTCCTCTTGAGGAAATAATTATAAATAAATGATTTTGAGTAGTGCAGTGTAAGTTTGAGAGTTGTCCTGGATCTGGTGTGTCTTAATCTTTGTCAGTGTCTCCTCTCTTGGTGGAAATGCAGACATTACCCAGGAGGCGCCTGTGGACTCAAATATGCTCTGAACATTGGCATGTACCAAAGAAGATTCAGAAACTGCTTGGCATAGTCCATCTTAATAAAAAGAATAGTGATAGTAGTAGGGTGAGGATTTCACCCAGCAGAAAATATCTATGAAAGACACTATTTTACTTGCTTTGTTTTGGTTTGTTTTGGGTTTTTTTTTCTCTCAGTAACTGAATCCAATTTCTGCAGGGTCTATGCAGCCTCACTAGATAAAGCTTCTACTTTGCAACAGGTTGTATTTTTTAAAATGGTTCATGAGCAGGTGGCAGCCCTTACAAATTGTCTAGTGTCTGATAAATCTCAAGGGCTGAAAAATCTCTGTACACTGAAAACCTCCTAGGCTGTCTTCAATTACAAGTAATTGTGTAACTAGGATGGTGCTGTACACCTGATTTACAGGAAAAAAAAAATACCTATGTATTTCATTACCTGTTAGGATCTTTGTAAATTTTATGCCAAATACCATTAGAGTATGTGTTTTACACACATGTTATGTTGTCCTAAAGCTTGAATTTGAGGAACACCAAGAAATCTTAACCATGAAAGCATTATTTACCCAGAAAGTCTTAACAAACAAAATATCTTGGATACTCAAACTCTCAAAACAATCCTGCCTAATTCACACACTACTTTAGATAGCATTAGCATGTGTGCACACATAATGCTGACTTTAGGAAGTGTATGTGGTAGGTGGGAGATAAGAAATGCTTTGAAGGATACCCTGAGTACTCAAAAATCCATATACTTTGATATGGGGGAGGAGTGTCTCCTGTTCACATGCTTCCTTGTAAACTGGATCTTGAGCCTAAGGCTTTTGCCTAACTTTAGCTATATCAATATGGTACAGAATAACCAAGGCTCCTGGACATAGATCCATTCAGGCTTCCATTCCTACTCCACACTGGAATCAAATAAGCAGTGGGCCAGACCCATGAAATCTTCTCATTTTTTGCTTCTGTCAGCTTTGAGTGAATTTATGATTTATGATGTAGCTTGAACATGAGAGAAAAATTATAAACTCCTAATCAGATGTGTCTGGGGAAAACTGTCTGCTTGTCCATGGCTGCTAGGCTGTGGTCTGTCAGTCTCTGGGAATCAGGTCCCTTGAAACTGTAACATGTATTCAAAAATAATGGAACTACACCTTCAGTGAGGAAGACCATATCATCCAATTATTTCCTTAGCCAACTACATGTACCGCAGACTCACTAAGGCTGAGCCTCCGCCAGCTCAGTCCCATTGTGTCTTGGGATACACACATGCTGAGAGAAGTTCTGGTGCTGTGAATATTGCACCTTCTCACAGTGATGAATGGGGACCCCTGAGCATAAGTACAAGAACATTTGGTATGGCTTGATAAATCCTCTCACACTACTGACCATATTCTCCCTAACACCTCACAACAGCAATGTAGTGTGCTAAAATTATTTCTCTTGTTCTCATAAATACTGTCTCATTTTGTTTCCATCTACTCCTCTACCTCAGTCTGTACCTCTATGTCATCAGATATATAGTCTGAAAGGTCTCTGAGACAAGAGTCACTACCTTGGGCATCTCTGTTGTGTAGCACTGGAGTAATACGGATAGCTAATAACAACCTCCTAGGCTTACGGGATTCAATCTGTCCAAAAGCTTTGAATCTATGGTACAAGGTCATGGATCTGTGGTACAAAGCCCATTTGACTTTACTGATATGCATCTTCAAATCTCTCAGAGAATAACCATCCTGAAAAATATTACCTTGAGAATGAAATCCTCTCTCCATGACCCCATGTTTGACTTTCATGTGCCTGGTTAAGTTTCCCTTCAAGGTGAATTTGCTGGGGCAGTAAAGACACTTGAAAGGCTTACTGTCTGAGTGCAAGTGCATGTGTCCCATTAAATTGTGCATTCTGTTAAATTCCTTTCCACACAGCTGTAAAAACAGTAAAAATGAAAATTATTAGTTAAAGAAATACTTCCAAGGAGAACATTTTAAAAGAAAATAGGGCCTACTTTTGTCAGCTTGAGACCTGGCAGCTTCTGGCTGCAATTTGTTTTTCAAAGACACAGGCAAAAATCCTACATACAAAAATATGTGGTTGAGTCTGATCCATCGAGGGCCTTCTGCACTACTGCCATATTTAGATTTGGTGACTAGGACACAGGGTCAGGTATTTCCCAAAAGCAGGGAATGTTGTAAAGAGGGGAGAAGCTTAAGTGTGTCATCTGGAAGGTTTTAAACTTGAATGAAATTCAAAGTATAACTTTCTGCCCTGGTGAACCATTTAGTTTGCAGTTTATTAATCTAGCCTTTAACCAAGAACAAATCCAGGCAGAGATGGAGATACAAAATAAAACCAATGAAGGGTTTCTGTGAAACAGTCAAGGAGAATATTACTTCTTCTTAAGTGGAAATGAAATAGCTGCACATTTTGCTTAAAGCTAGAAAAAGCAATTCCTTTTTTTCTTTGTTTCTTGCTCCCCTATTTTTCTCTGATCTTCTTATCTTCTGCTTACCAACTTCTGTGTTTCAGTGTCTCTGGTGAGTAAGTTGGAATTTAAACAGTCATGGGGCTGCAAGAATGACTCAGCTTTCCCTGAAGCATGTTCCTGCCAGCTCAAGCCGTTGAACGTGTAAGTTTCCCTTTGATGAAACAATAAGGTTTTTGCTTTCATTGTTGTTATTTATCTATATGACTCCTTCTGTAGTCTGGTCACTTATAAATCAAATGAATTCTCAAGACAGGAGAACTTGACATCACTGTTACAAGCTTCTAGTCTTGTCTTCTGGTCTTTCTTTATCAGGATTTAAAATTTTATTTACATTCAAGTGGCTATTTCCATCCTCCACAAACTTCTGTATTTGGTTTCTACTTCAGCTCATTTTTTTTGGAATGGTTTTAGACGAATATTTTTATGAGCAATTTAATTTTTTTTTACATTCTTTATTACTATATGAGCCAGAATCACCATTACTGAGTAACTGAAACTTCCATCAAGCAGTGTAGTTATCAGAGAGAAAAAAAAGTAAAAAGCAGTTACTGAGATTTCACCAAATTTTTGGTCTAATCTGACTTTCAATTTATTTTAGGAACACAGAAGATCTGCAACAATACTTTTTGATTCAAATTCATAAATCCATCACCTGGAATATCTGGATGAAATGTAGATAGTAAAATAATCCTTGGTGAAACAGTACTGTATCACTGGCATTTTAAACCATCTCTTGAGGGCAAATGGAAGCAGTTCATTAATATAAAAATTTGCAGGGGTATTGTTTTAAACAAAAATTAGAGCTGAGTCAATGCTACAAAACGAAAGCCTGGAAATATTCACTTGCTTTAAAAAAAAAAAAAAAACTTCAGCTGCATAAATTCTCTTCTGTCATTTGCTCTCTGTGATTTTGCTAAAATGAATATTCTAGAATTTATCAGCAAAGCGTTCACCAAGACAGTGGGGGGCAAGGGGGAAGAGAAGAACAGCCACTGAATATGAGTTATTAATTTGTAAAAGTAACATATCTGATTCCGAGGTCATCCAACTACTTAGGAAAGAGGACTATCTCTTCTTTGCATTCAAATAAAGTTAGTATGTTGGATGACTTATATTCAGGGAAATTAATGCACCAAAAAACCACTCAAAGTGTTCAGATGAAACAAAGAATAGAAGAAACACTGATGAGCACAGAAAATTCACAAGGAAGAACAGCAGCGGATTATATCTTGACACCTACTGGAACGACCCATGACATGTCAGTATTTCTCTGGCTACAAGCATGCTAGTAATAATAATACTTCTCTAATACTTTTTAGCAGAAAGCTTCTGGTTATCTGCTTGTATTGTGGCTGATCTCTGTTCTCAACAACTTTTGCTTTCCAACAGCTAGGTCTTTACTTCTTTATCTAAACTGGCAATCCAGGAAAATCAGGTTGAACAGGTGTATGGTTAGAGCACTTCATGAAAATCTATATCTTTATAAGGTATTGAGTATTAAAATGGTTCTAGTAGGAGCAATATTTTTGTTTGTTTCTGTCAAGGCAACATTTATTTCTCTTTCTTCATAATGAAGACAGGTGACTTTGTAACGGATAGTTCCTTACAGCATAAAAGTTTTCTGTCTCTAAATAAATGGGATAGGTTTTCCATTTCCCAAAGTCATGCACTGTGTAATGTGTTCTTGTCCTAAAATCTCCTGTGGGGATGTGAGGAAATGGTACCAGAGGGGAGAGGTGTGGCAGGAAAATGAGAGAAATGCAGATAGGAAAATCGTTTTTTTTGGAACAGTGGCTCTGTGTGGCATGGTCTCTGGGTAACCTATCCTTTTCAAAAGGCACAAGACAACTTTCAGATGAATGTCCATGATCCAGAAGGTGAAACGAAAAGGTTTGGGGCTCACATGCCGGAAGACAGCAACTTGGAGCCAGCTGGGCTTCCCAGCTAGTGCCTAAAGAACAGTCTGAGTCTGTAGACCAAACTGAGGAAGATGTACAAGATTTTCTTTCTCTGTGACAGGGCAAGGGTGTGAGCACTGATGAACAGAGTGTGGAAGATGACCCTGAGCCAGTTGCATGGGAGGGAGCTCCAGCAGAACTCACCACAGAGCACCTTAGCACTCAGGAAGATGCAAAGCTCACAAAAGAGGTCTTGGGATAGCAGGAACAACATGGTTTACTGGTGCACCTTTTGTTAGGCTGTTTACTTTAGGCAAAATAAAGTTCAAGACCTGAATAAAACAACCTCAGCTGCAAGTCTTCTGAACATGCTTCGTTGCACTGGCTGGTGAATGGACTTCAGTACTGTTTGCTAGAAAATCTTAAGAGTTCAACATTAGATTTTGTCTTCATAAGACACCACATAAAGTATCAACCTTCCAGATTTGTCAGTCTTTTTGTTTCTTCCCAAAGTACTTAATCTCTCAAAGTACTTATTTTCTTTGGTTTTGACTTCTGATCTAAACCCATGATTTTAGATGGGAGGAAAATAGAGTTCAAACATCTGTTGCAAGGTGTATTTGGATGAGCTGGAGAAAACTTCATCTCATTCTTTATTGAAGGTCTGAAACATTGCTGGCTTCAACACTAAAAGCAATTATAAATTTCTATATTATAATTATAAACAGAAGCTTTCTCTACAAATCAAAATTAGTGCTATTGCACCAGGTGGTGCAACTCCTTCAGAACTCTTCAGTGTTTTTTTTAAACAGAAATAAGTCAGGACAGGCTCAGGCCTTTAAACTCTACAGAGAAGTTCACTCTTTAGAGAAAAATCAAACACAGATCTAGGCTGCAGCTGGATGAGGAAACAGAAGGGACAACTATTTGCTACTCCCTCACTTCAGATAGTCTGTGCTTAGCTGTGATTAGACACATAGGAAAGCTTCATGTTTTCTTTTGCTGTGAGAAAAAGGTAAAGAAAATCATTACATGTGGTGAAGTAGAAAGGCAACTGCTGTGCTCTTTCCCTTGCATTCTTCTTCTTTTTTTTTTTTTTTCTTCATAAGAAGGGTGTTCCTTTCCTCAAAGAGAGAGGGAGAGGGAGAAAGACTGTAAACTGTCCAAAAGGACCGTGAGAAAACAGGAAGCTTTGAAAAGTACAAGAGAAAGCAAGATGAAATCTATTTGCAGGCGGTTCCCTGGGGACATGTGAGCCATTGTTAAGCAGGCTGTTCATACAGCTATATCCTTCCTTCTGCTGAGGAGGAGCTTGGTGCCAAAAGGCTGCTATCTGGTCATTGCCTTAACCCCTGAATACCAGCCAGAAACATTTGCTTGAGTCTGTCAAAGGCTCTGTCAGAGACACAAGGGTTGTTCCTGATACCAACGAGCAACTCCTGATTCTCCCTGTACTTGTTATTACAGTCTCCATTTGTTCAGGGGCACTGATGTTGATTCATACCCCTTCAACCAAGGCAGAAACTGTTCCACTGTGCTTACTTGTTTCTTTCCTCCTAGGAACACTGGGTGGAGACATAGAAATTAAAAAAAAAAAAAAAAAAAAAAAAAAAAAAAAAAAAAAAAAAAAAAAAAAACAAACAAAAAAAAACCCCAGGTGTTCCTGTAGAGCTTTTGCTCCTGGATGGAAAACATACTGGTGGTGCTGGTGGTACTTCAGTTCCCTGTTCAAACTATTGCCGTCTCCAAGTTTTCATAGCCTGTCATCATCAAACCTGAACACAAACTTCCAGCTAATCTGCACATACCTAAAGAATACTGTGGGTACAGATATTGCATCTAGAACAGCTGATCAAACAACTGAGTTTCTTTTCTGAAGTTTGAGGGGTCAGAGAAAGAGGGCTTTGACCAAATGGGAACAAAAGGGTTTGCAGGTGTTCTCAAAGAATGAAAGCCTCAGCAGACTTGACATAGAACTCCCCAAGCATTTCAGTTACAGAAATTGTTTCACTAATATAGAATAACATATCCTACTATACAAAATAGCATTTTAATAGGACATAAACTAAAATGAAACAAAACACTAAAGTTGAAAGACATTGTTATTTTTTCAAAGTGAAATGCTTCAAAATAATCAAAGTTATGAACTCAAAAGGATTCATTTTGACATTTTACTATTAAAATTTTCACTGAATGCTGTATTTTCTTATGACATTTTGAAGTTTTAAATTTTTTAAGAGAAAATAATTCCATTTAAAATTTTTATCCAGCTCTGCTTCTCAATTAAAAATTTCAAGAAAATATTTAATTCCATAAAGATGTTGGATGAAAGAGTTCTAGAAATTGCTTCCAGATCAATCTTCAGTTACTTAGGCATAAACTGGGTAATATGCTTCACTCTGTATTTATAACCCTCTTAGAGAAGATCAAAGTGGGAATAAAGACTACAACTTTTGACTTCACAAGGTCATACTATAACAATGAAACAGGTAGGCAGTAAAAGGAACAGAAGTAGTGTCCAGTACTGAGTAAGAATATAAACATGAATATTTAATTCATAAGGAAGGTAATACAGATAAGCACGGTTAAGAAACCCAAAGCCTCAAACGTTTATGGGGATGGAGGAGCAGAGAGGCTGGAAAGGGAATGTCAGCCTCTAGTGTGCCGGAGGGAGGCAGCAAACTGGAATTTGCACAGGGTCCTAAAAAGGCCAGATGGTCTGAGAGGCTATTTTATTAAGATACGGGTGTTCTGCCCTGAATTTCAGTCTGGTTATTACACTTGGCCCATCCAAATTCCTTCTGCGATTGTATTTTCTTCTGTCTTTCTTTGAGTCCTTCCCTGAACTGTTGCATAGCATCACTGTCTGAACTAGTGGCTGCTGCTTTCCCATGGTCCTCTGTGGGGTGCATGACTTGATCTGTATTTTTAGTCAGTGTTACAAGCTACTAAGCACTTAGACTCCTTTCTGGATGGCTGTACTAAACAAATGTCAGATATGTTTATTGACCTCAAACAGCCATGGCAATGCTCATGAAACAAAAAAAATGTATTTGAGCATGAAAGTTAGCAATATTGAAGGGGGAGACATATCTGTAAACCACAGATATTTACCTTCATTATTTTGTGCTGTGTAAACAGAACTTGAATAAAGAAAGAAAACCAGAGTGGTAAATGCAACTGCAGTATGTGTTAGCAAGTCTTGTTTTTCTAATTCTAGCATATCACAGGATGATAATACCACAGAAATATCCAGTGGGTTAATAACTCTGCCACAAAATGCACTCACCTTGCATTTAAAGGGTTTGACATCAGAATGAACAATCATGTGGGCCTTGAGAGTTTGCTTTTGCACAAAGCTCTTGAAGCATAAATGGCACTGATAGGCTCTGATATTGGTGTGGATCAGGACATGTCGCTTCATGTTGGCCAGCAGAGTAAACTCCCGGCCACAGATTCCACATTTGTGCTCTTTCACACCCTGTAAGAAAAGAAAAAAAATCAGAAAATTCTGTAGATGGAAAATTTTCTAGATAATTTAATCTTCAGAACAGCAATATATGAATTATTCATTCTGCATTATCAAAGCAGGTAATAAATTATTTAACTTTTAACATGTTTTTCTCAAGTAATAGATATTTATGTGGGGCTTTTTTCCTCATAAATTCTTACAAGAATCTGAGAAACAAAGAAGGCAAACAAAATGTAAGTTTAATGAAATAATGAGTTTTGCTTCTATCAGTAAGTTTACAAATCAGTGAGACATAGTCAGGAGGAGAGTTTCTCTGCCCTACTCTGCTGCTTATGTAATGTATTGATCAAATGTACACACTTATTGACCAAGAATAAAAGCTAACCTGTGAAGAGACTAAAGTAGTGCTTGTCTTTGATAATTGAACATCATTGGCTTCTAAATAAGGCACAGCCCTATTCTGAAGAAAGCTATAGAAAAGAATCTCAAGTAATCAAGAAATAGTAAATATCGCCAAATAAGGATATACATGTTACATTCAATGAACAGAAAAAACTGTTAACTCTTAATGGGCCTTGCACTAACCCCAGTGGAGTGATCTCATTTTACCTGGTGTTTATGGAGCATTTTTTTCTAGCACTTGTTGTGCCATCCAGTCAATTTACTAATGCGTAATTCAGTATCCTTGCTCACACTCATGTGGTTTAACTGTCAGCTCCTCATTAAGTCATTTAGATACTATGAAAATCAATTAATTTACCACTAAACACTTAAAGAAGTTTGAGTATAACTTGTTGCAGTCAGTGAGGATTTACCAGTGAAGTGCTGAGAGCAATCACTCCTCCTGCAGGTCTCCATTATAGAGAAGACTTGAAAGAAACTCTACTTTCATGCCAGTCGTTTTCACAGTTAATTGCAAAGCTGAAACAGTGAACACCAACAGCGGCTTTACATGTCTGCCTATCTGATGTAAGGCTGCATTTGGTCAGCTAAGTACTGTGAATTCTGTTCACAGCTGAATTCACCTGCAGCTGTGGACAAAGAAGCAGAAGCTCTCTAAAGGCTCAGGGGCATTGCATTTTCTTTGACAACAAACTACCAAGTCTTAAATTAGTAGAACTTTGCATGGTAAATCCAGAGACCAGGGAATCTCCAAAAAGAGCAGAAATTGTAATTATGTAGTAGGGAACAAAAAGCAAATGTGGAAGTAAGGGATGTTGGTTTTTAAAAGAAAATGTGTCCACAAGGCTGAAGGGCTGCAGCTTTCTCTATTTTTAGTGTTTTTCACATAAAAGCCAAAATTCAAGTGTTAAAGTAAAAATATGCAAAGCTGGAATAAATTTTTTACAAAATGTGTGGAGTTTTGACTTGTCTTAACAATATATTTGTAAAGGTGGATAAGCCCATTTCAGACTTTTTTGAATGGAAGAATTACATTTTTCCTATTTTTGAAAGAATCTTTTGGGAGTGTTCCAAAGCCCTCTCCTAAACCTAAATTGACTCTCCTGTCATTGCTGTCAGCAGTGACAAGACTACCACTCAATACGAATTGGCTGGGATTATGGTCCTGCTTATCTACTTTTATTAACTGACATTCTGGATAACTTATGCACAAAAGAGTATTTTTTTAGTTGTTGTTGTTGGGGTTTTTTTCCCCCTAAATGTCTTATTATAATGATTCTTCAAAATCTAATGCTTTCTTTTGCTGCATATATACAGTCTACTGCAAATCCACCTACTTCCAAATTAAGGGAGCAAAGCAATACAACAGGTTTTCAGTAGAAAATTTCTGTCAAAATTTAAAGGGGGTTACACAGGTTTGCAAGATTAGGCTTTGTTGCAGAAGGCCATTCTGAAGATAAAACCCAGAAACGGAGAGATGTGAATACAGTTTTGGGAAGTAATACAGGTGGTTTACTTGAACTGCTGTTTACTCGAAGTGGGTTTTGTGTGTACTTTCTGAAGACTAACAGAGATACCTAGCTTCTACTGTTGCCAGCACTGCCGGGGCTCTTGCTCCACATAAAACTGTCCCACTGGCAAAAGGCCAGCACGAGGCTCTATAGACTGATTACCTTCTTTCCAAGGAGGTACATACGTGTATCTTTAGTGTACCTGTAGTCCTTGTGCTACCTTCTGAGGCAAGATGAGAGCACAAGCCATGCTGGCTTACCTTGTGTGTTAGGGAGTGTTGTTTGAGATGGTGGGGCTGCACAAACTCCATGCCACACTCAGTGCAGATGTACGGGCGGATGTCTTTGTGCTTCATCATGTGGTTTTGCAGCTGACTTGGGTACTGGAAGGTCTTATCACATTCAGTGCAATTATACTGTATAGGGCCACGGTGGGTTGTTAAGTGTCTCTTCAGCTGGGCCAGGGTTGGGAAGTCCAGACCACACTCCACACAAATATTCTCTCGGCCACTCTCATGCTTAGACTCGTGTGCTTTTAGCTCACTGGGGTAGGCAAAACCTCTGCCACAGATCCTGCAGTTGTAAGGCTTGATGTCACTGTGCTGCATCATGTGTCTCTTAAGGTGACTGGTTTGAGTGAAGGCCTTGTGGCACACCTGGCACTTATGTGGCCGAGTGCCCTGGTGTGTCAACATATGTGTGTGCAAGTGGCTCAGCTGCTTGAAAAGCTTGCCGCATCGGGTGCAAGCATGTGGCTTAATGCCACTGTGCCCCAAGATATGGGTGACCAAATTGTACTTGGATGTGTAGGACTTCTCACACATGGGACATTGCCAGCGTTTCTGTTCACCCCCCACATCAACATAGTAACTGTCATCTATCTGAAGGTTGACATCTACTCTTTCCACTTTCTGTTTATTTTCACCACTTTCTCTTACTTCAGCCTTCCTGAAGGGTGGCTCTGGAGGTCTTTTCATCTGAAATGTGTTCCTGAAATGAAAATTTGGTGGCACAATGAAAGGAAACATTAATCCAGGATGGACTTTAGGATAATAAGGGTAAGGAGGATGCATGAATGCTGGGCTACTAGGCCATGCCATGTTAGGCTTCACTGGTTCTTGCTTAATGGTTTTGGCTCCAAAGTGCTCCAGAGTTCTACAGAACTGAAAACCAAAGTTGCAGAGGTCGATCATCTGGGAACTGTACTTGGGCTGTGCTGGCTGTTGAAACATCAATGGGAGACTGGAAGAGCCTCTGTTATTGTGATCTCCAGGTCTGTCTGATGGTGATGAGGAATCCTCAAGGACAATCGAAGAAGGCATTTTTGTTGGCATGCTCTTGCGTTTTCGAGACCCTCCTTCCAAAGATCCCTGGAATGTTTCCATGTCTCCAAGAGGAGGAGGGCCATAGCGGAAATGTGAGAGGTGTGGTCTGAATTCTTCACCAAATAGAGTCGTTCTCTGTCGCTTTGTAACTGGGCTCAGTGGCTGCAGGTAGCAGGAGAAGGGAGAGGCCTGTGTACTGTTCACGTTAAAACTTGTTTCTTCATTCTTCATCATATTTGATTTTTTCTGTGTTGCCCAAATTCCTTAAAACAAACAAAAAAACCAAATCTCTTTATTTCTCCCTATTCTTCTGTTTGGTTTTAGTTTTTTTGGGTTTTGGTTTGGTTTGGTTTGGTTTAGGGTTTTTTTGGGGGGGGTGTGGGTGGTGGGTCTATTTTACTGGTTTGGATGTTGTTGGGGTTTTTTGACTAAATGCAACTAAGATTGTCTTAGGCCCATATAAAACAAAGACCTTTTAAAGCTGAATTAAATTGCTTAGTGAAGAACAAAGAAGCTTTGGTCTTCTTGAGGTGGAATTGGTGGTTTAAATCAAGTTTGACCCATACAACATCTTTGCAACATAAACATGCTCTACTGTGACATACTACTTTGTAGCTGAACATGTATGACAATGTTGCTGCTTAATTTGATTCAGACAGGCTATTTGTGGGCAAAATCCTGTCCTTGGCCGTGCATGCACAGGCTCTAGAAATTGGCGGTGCATCTAAAGGATATGGCAATACAAACAATAATGTGCACATTTATTATGGTTCTGACATGAAAAGCCAAAGCCAAAAAATGTTAAACTTCTTTGTATCATTAACATGCGCTGCTGTGAGAGAGAACAATGGCCAAGTGATCTAAGGACACTGTGTACCATCAGGTTTTTGCACCATGTTTCCTGGCTTCTCTCACTTTGTATTGTAATAAGAAGGCAGACATTAATTTATTTTCTTTGTTTTAATCCCAGAGATATTTACCTGGCAGATTTGGGGGAGGAAAGACCTTTGTTGACTCTCCAAATTACATTCAGTTTTATAGAGTTAGTCTAGAGGGGGGTTTTCTTTCTAAATAGGTGAGCAAAATCTCTGCTATAAAGTTAAATATAGAATTAATGTCAAAAACCTCCCAGGGGTTGAGAGTCATTGACATCTAAGAATGCTCCAACCATTTCTGGTGGTACAGTGTGACAAAGCAGATTACTAATTATCTTCTAGCCAAATTTTATGTTCCACTGGCCATACAGGGAGCTTCTCTTGAATTTGGCGTTCAATTGAAATATTGGTTGTGAATTTTGGTTCATCTTAAGTAAGGCTGCTACCTTTTGCCTTGGGTCTCTAGAATCACAGAATCATAGAATCATTTAGGTTGAAAGAGACCTTTAAGATCAAGTACAACTGTTACTGTAGCACTGACAAGTCCACCAGTAAACCATGTCCCTAAGTACCACATCCACACTGTGATTCAACCACTCAACACTTCTCCGGGCACTTGTTCCAATGCTTGACACGCCTTTTGGTGAAGAAATTTTTAATAATATCCAACCTAAACCTCCTCTTATGCAACTTCAGGACATTTCCTCCTGTCCTATCAGTTGTTATCTGGAAAGAAAGACCGATAGCCACCTCACTACAATCTCCTTTCAGGTAGTTGTAGAGAGCAATAAGGTCTCCCTTCAGTCTCCTTTTCTCCAGGCTAAACAACCCAAGTTCCCTCAGCTGCTCCTCACAAGACTTGTACTCAAGATCCTTCACCAGCTTTGTTGCTCTTCTCTGGATGCACTTCAGCACCTCAATGTCTGCCTTGCAGTGAGGGCACCAAAACTGAACACATTATTTTAGATGTGGCCTTTCCAGTACCGAGTACAGGGGGACAATCACTTCCCTAGTCCTGTTGATCACACTATTTCTAATAAAAACCAGGACACCATTGGCCTTCTTGACTGCCTGTGCACAATGCTGGCTCATATTCAGTCAGCTGTTGACTAGCACATCCAGGTCCTTTTCCACCAGGCAGCTCTCCAGCCACTCTTCCCCAAGCCTGTAGTTTTGTGTGGGGTTGTTGTGACCCAAGTGCAGGAACCAGCACTCAGCTTTGTTGAACTTCATACAATTGGTCTTGGCCCATTGATCCAGCTTGTTCAGATCCCTCTGTAGAGCCTTCCTGCCCTCAAGCAGATCAACATTCCCTCCCAGTTTGGTGTCTGCAGACTTACTGAGGGTGCACTTGATCATATTCAGATCACTGATAAAGTTATTAAACAGAACTGGCCCCAGTACTGGGCCCTGGGGAACACTACTCATGACCAGCCACCAAATAGATTTAACTCCGTTGACCAAACTCTTTGGGTCTGGCCTTCCAGTCAGTTTTTTACCCAGTGAAAAGTGTGCCCATCCAAGCCAGAATGCTCTAGGAAATGGTGTGAAAGGCTTTACTAAAGTCTAGGTAGACAATATCCATAGCCTTTCTCTCATCCACTGAATGGGTCATTTTGTCATAGAAGATCAGCTTTGTCAAGCAGGACCTGCCTTTCATATACCCATGCTGACTGGGCCTGAGCATCTGGTTGTCCCGTATATGCCATGTGATGGCACTCAAGATGATCTACTCCATAACCTTCCCTGGCACTGAGGTCAGACTGACAAGCTTGTAATTTCCCAGATCCTCCTTCCAGTCTTTCTTGTAGGTGGGTGTCATATTTGCTAAATTCCAGTCAACTTGGACCTCCCCTGTTAGCCAGCACTGCTGATAAACGATGGAAAGTATCTTAATGAGCAATTCCACCAGCTCTCTCAGTGAGGATCCTTATGAATGCTTAGGTGGATTTCATCCAGCCCCATAGACTTGTGTGTGTCTAAGTGGTGTCACTAACCTTTCCCCCTTGGATTCTGGGGAGGGGACAGGGAAGTGATTGTCCCTCTGTACTCGGCACTGGTGAGGCCACACCTCGATGACTGGGTTCAGTTTTGGGCCCCTCACTCCAAAAAATACATTGAATGACTCGAGCGTGTCCAGAGAAGGGCAACGGAGCTGGTGCAGGGTCTGGAGCACAGGTCGTACGGGGAGCGGCTGAGGGAACTGGGGGTGTTTAGTCTGGAGAAGAGGAGGCTGAGGGGAGACCTCATCGCCCTCTACAGCTCCCTGAAAGGAGGCTGCAGAGAGCTGGGGATGAGTCTCTTTAATGAAATAACAAGTGACAGGACAAGAGGGAATGGCCTCAAGTTGCACCAGGGAAGGTTTAGACTTGATATTAGGAAGCATTTCTTTCCAGAAGGGGTTGTTGGGTGTGGAATGGGCTGCCCAGGGCAGTGGTGGAGTCCCCATCCCTGGGGAGGTTTCAGAGTTGGGTTGACATAGCACTTAGGAATATGTTGTAGTTGAGAATGGTTGGTGTTAAGTTAATGGTTGGACTAGATGATCTTCAAGGTCTTTTTCAACCTAGATGATTCTGTGATTCTGTGATAATGGGGACTTTATTCTGCTCCTTGTCTTTGTCTTCCAGCTCAGCAGCTGAGCACCCCAAGAAAAACTGGTCTTACTATAAAAACTGAGGCAAAGAAGACATTAAGTACCCCAGCATTTTCCTCATCCTTTGTGACTATGTTTCCCCTCACATCCCATAAAGAATTGAGATTCTCCTTAGCTCACCTTTTACTGCTAATGTATTTATAGAAGCATTCTAAATTGTTTTTAACGGCAGTAGTCACATTCAGTTCTAGCTGGGCTTTGGCCCCTCTAAATTTTACCCTGCATAACCTTACATGTCCTGTAGTCCTCCTGAGGGATGCACTTATGTAAATGTGTGTGTGTGAGTGTGTACACACTATCCAACCAGGCAGAGGTTAGGTCAGAAAACTAGATATTTTTCCTCTGTCACCTGTAACATGTTCATGGTATTTAAAACACTGTTCTTGGAAGTGCTAGGTGAAGAGCATGAAGATGGTTGGAGGACTAAAGACACCCCTGTTTCTTTTTCAGAATCTCTGTGCTGGATGAACCTGTTTCTAAAGATAGATAGTCTGACCTAGTTAGGCTGTGGACAAGAGAAGGCATCTTAAAAACCTGCTTGCAAAGAGTTCACTTCCTTCTAACAGGATAGAATGTGGAATTATCTTTGAGATACTCTGTGAATCCAGAGGATCAGTGACACTCTTTTAGATGGAAAATTTAGACAAAGTGATCAATCAATGCTCAAAGGAGGAGTAGTATTGTAGAATCTCTAAACTGATGATTCAAAAACCAGCTATGATAGTGGAAAAGACTAAAAAAAAAAAAATTGCTTAGGTCTGAACAAGTATCCAATAATTACACCAGGATATGACTTTCAGTCCCTAGCTCACTCATTGGAAATGGTTTACATATATATATATATATATATATATATACACACACACACACTATATACACTATATTTGTGTGTGTATGTGTATATATGTAATATATATAAGTGAGTATGTTCCATCAGAGAGGATTGTTAGGGAGCATGCGTTCTGCCATATTTTCTTGTCACCCTAACTTCCTGGACAAAATATGGAACAGTTAGATCTTGAAGACTCTTTGGTACAAAGACTTGACTTATTAAAAAGGGACAAGAGAATCCTCTGAATACCGAAAAAGACTCCACTTCTTTCCAAAAGGGAAAAAGTGGAGGGTTATTAATTCATTTTAAGCAAAGTTGAACTCACACAATTTGAACATAAAATATGCCTGTAGACCAAAATCTTCCTTTCAGAGTATATGACTGTGTCTCAAATATATTTCATCTTGTGTATTTGGCTCTTTCCCAGCAATATGGGTGTAAAATGCTTCAGAAAGCCCATAGCAATTGAGAACTTAGCTATGTTTTTTACTGCTTTTGTTAGATTATTGAAAGGCTGCCAAAAATACACAGAAGTGACAGTGAGTTATGTCTAATTGATTGTCTCAGCTGCTGGTTACTCCCTTCTTCCACAGTCTGTTTTATGCAAAATTTCAATCTTTCTGGAACATGGCAGAGGCTGTAGAACTGCTTGAAATTACTAGAAAGAAATAATTTCCTTGCACTACTAACCTTTGGCTGCTTTCACTGAGTGTATGGGTTTATTCCACTATCCACAGCTGCACACATCATGGGAACAAGCCTACAAGAGAAAGTGTTTAAACAGTCAGTGACCAGCACAATCAAAAAGTGGCTATATAATCCAACAAAAGAGCACCTAAAAGAGGAGGAAAAGTACAGATTTGCATTCTATATATGGATT